TGTCAGTTTACGAAATTCTTAATAAAAAATACTGATAATAATAAAATTGCACACACAAATTTGCTCCTGATAGTGGCTGTATAAATAGGCTATTATTTTGGTTATTCGTAATGATCTTGGAGCTTGGTGTATTGAAACATCTCACCAAAAACATGCCTGTTAAAAAGGGGGCCAAGTTCCAATCGGCTAATTGTTTGCCTAAAAAAGGGGTGAAATCCAATCTAATGCCAAGTTTAGATGCACTTTGAAATCGATCATAATCATCTTCATCAACAGCATGATCCACTGGTAAACATTTGCCATTCCCAAGACTCGCCACCACACCCAGTCCTCTGCCTTCCACATCCAGCCACTACCCGCCACCTTATTCACGTCAACGGTCCATCTGACCGAAATTCACTTTACCATACACCCAACTTAAAATATGGTATAGTTGTGAAAATACGTAGGTGCTTGGTTAAAAATATCTAAAATTATAATACTTCTAAATTTGAACTTGGCAGGTTTTTGTGCTGTACGTAACACTTAATTAATTGTATCATTAATTTATTATTTAGTTATATAATTATTTATATTTATATAATTTAAATATTATATAATTTAAATAATTAAATTAACCTGCCAAGTTCAAATTTAGAAGTATTATAATTTTTGATATTTTTAACCAAGCACCTACGTATTTTCACAACTATACCATATTTTAAGTTGGGTGTATGGTAAAGTGAATTTCGGTCAGATGGACCGTTGACGTGAATAAAGTGGCGGGTAGTGGCTGGATGTGGAAGGCAGAGGACTGGGTGTGGTGGCGAGTCTTGGGAATGGCAAATGTTTACCAGTGGATCATGCTGTTGATGAAGATGATTATGATCGATTTCAAAGTGCATCTAAACTTGGCATTAGATTGGATTTCACCCCTTTTTTAGGCAAACAATTAGCCGATTGGAACTTGGCCCCCTTTTTAACAGGCATGTTTTTGGTGAGATTTCAATACTTTTTTTCAAGAAATCGTACATACAATCGTACTATACAGCCGTACAATGCATAACTTACAGCATGAAACATACAGCTACCATCTGATGGCATAGGAATTACCCTATGTGGTATATCTCCGCCAACCACCGAAAGATGTACAATTTCCATCGTTGGTAAATGAATAGTAGAAAAGAAATAGAGTGAATTTGTGCTTTTAACACACACAAGTAATCAATCAATAAGCAATATCAAAATTAATCCTTTAGCAAGTCAAATCAGTGATCCATTTAATCGTAATCGTAACCATATATGTATAAGATATCAAGACATAAGTGTAGAAAGAAATAGAAAGAAATGACCATCGATTCCTTATCGACTTTCATTCATATATACCTACTGCAGACAAAACAATATCGCGATTCAATTATACCGCTAGCGCCATCTATCGAAAGTAATTTATAACAATAGAAACCTGATTTTTTAGGTAAGCAATATTTAATTAAGTTATATAGTGTGCATAATGTATACATGACAATATTTTTTATCCCTTATATATATATATATATATATATATATATATATATATATATATATATATATATATATATATATATATATATATATATATAAATATATCAGTTCTTAAGAAGCGCCCCACACTTTTTTCACAATAATATTAATTTAAAAATAAATTAACAAACAATAAATGGTATTTTTGTGAAAAAAAAGCGTGATGAGCTTCATATATCACTTCTTGAGAAGCGCCCCACGCTTTTTTTTCAATAATACCATTTATTGTTTATTTTAAACAATTTAAATTAAATTGATTTCCAAGGTTGTAAAGGTTAAATTAGTTTCCACGCGGTTTCTTTCATCATTGGAGCGTGTTTTTTTTAGTTTTTTTTAAACTATATTTATTTTTTATTTTTTAGTTTCATTTATCACCGATTGAAAGATGTACTCATATTATTAATCATTAATATTTCATTATTATGTATTTTATTGTGCTGAGCTGAGCGCCTATATAAAGGTTTTGATTACCTGTCAGTGAGTCAGTGCCAAAATTTGCTATTTTCACAGGGTCATATTTCAGGATCTACTGAAGCTTTATCTATGAAATTTGGCATACTGCTTTAGGACTAGTATATGATTACGTAGGTACAATTTTATCTCTGTACTTGCAATAGACACTGAGCTACAGGGGGTCAAAAGTGGGTCGAATTTATTAAAAATTCGATATTTAGAATTGAGGCAACTCACGCTTGACCGATTTCTTAAATTTCTTAATTTTTTGTTAATCTACATATAACACACAACCTGTGTACCAAATTTCATAATGCTAAAACAATGGGAAGTGGCCTAGAGGTTTTGATTACCTGTCAGTGAGTCAGTGCCAAAATTAGCTATTTTCACAGGGTCATATTTCAGGATCTACTGAAGCTTTATCTATGAAATTTGGCATACTGCTTTAGTTCTAGTATATGATTACGTAGGTAAAATTTTATCTCTGTACTTGCAATAGGCACTGAGCTACAGGGGGGTCAAAAGTGGGTCGAAACGGTTCGTGTAAATATAGTGCACGGCATGCGCCGGCCTGTGGAACTTGGCCGGCGCACTACCGTGCGCTTAGATATGTTCGAATAAACGCATTAATAATAGTATTAAAACAACTGCTTTAAGTTTACTAATAATATTTTTTATATCAAAACAAGCCCTGAGTTCATTTTAACATTCTTGGCAGTGTATTTATTTCTTGATGAAAACATCTATTATGTATGATAAAGTCGTGAACCGAATTCAGTCAGAAAATGTGACTCATATTATTTACGCCTCGAAGATGAAGTTTTTACTACACTATTTATATTATCAAAGAAATATAAGCACGCTTGAAGCTAATATTTTGCGGATATAGTACGCGACTTTGTTTTTGATAAAACTACATACTCCCGAAGTTTCGGTTACTTTACACCAACCGTGATCACGGGCAGACGAGAAGGGCAGATAAGCACGCTTATAAAATGTAAAAGATTTTGGTCCAGTTTCAATAATTTAATTATAAAGTCACTAGACCTTTTCTCTTATTATGTAGTTTGCTCATTGAATTTCGCCAAATGTACCCGCATTACAGTTGATGTGAGTGTAGATGGAAAATCTGACATACGGGTTGTTTCACGACAACATAACTGAATGTATAAAAATAACTCGAAAATTTTATAGGCTGTTGTTAATTGTAATTGATTTTTCTTCATATGTACCTACATATATTGTGAAAGGAAAGTATTTTGTTATTTTGAATAAATCAAAAGTTAAAAAGAACTTGTAGTGGTTATGATTATAGGATTTACTAATCAAAAAAGTATTTTAATGGGTAAATTTTACTTCGACTTCTTTTATATTCATACCTGTTTTGTAAGTCTGGTTTACGTGTTTACATTGCGAAGTTTCACAGTGTTTCACGAAGTGTAAACAGTTTATAGATATGAATATGAATGGTTATTCAGTAGCAGTAGTATTGTCAGCTAAAAGCTTTTAAAACGATACAATATATTAATCACTCTCAGACAAGAATTTTCTTACATTTCAAGGTTTTAAAATTGGAAACTATTTTAAGTAATAAGTATGTTTATGTTTTAGGATTCAATAAATCTTTCTTTCATTGTCGCATGACACGCAATTTTTATTTTCCTTTAGCGACACGAGAATCTTATAAAATGTATTCAACATCCATTCAACTGGCCGTCGGATATAAGTCGGCTTATTGTAGAACCTGTAAAGAGTTTTCCCATTTCGCCAGGTGCACTCTGCACGAAAATGGGGAAATTTCATTTCATTTTTCGCTGGAGGCCGACCGACATTGCAAATATAAAGCTTTAGTAAAAATTACACAAAAAAAGTTAAAGGTTAGTTTGCTCAGCATACAATGTTAACGAGGCAAAAATTTCAGTCATTAATTTCTTGTACATTTTTATAAAAATGTCATTGTTGTTTTCTGTTCAATTTCATAATTATTTTAATGAAATATGAATTTCCACCTTCGAACCGTTACATAATGGATCGAGTGTCTATGACCAAAATTCAAAAGGATCATTTCAAAGACGTCACATACTAATAGTTACATATTTGTTAATGCAGTTGTTTATTCTATTCAAATTGCTAAACCGATTTGGCACTCGTTTCATATCATGTAACGTGACATGAATTGTTTATCTACATGTCTATTTACGACGCTCCTTATATCCGGAACAAGTGTAAAGAATATCAGTCTTTAACATAATATAATATAAGTGCTGAATTACTGTGCTTATAGCTGTGGTTGACGGAATTGATCTTGACGACGCTCTGTCTACAAATAAAGTCACATTATGACACTCGTAATAATCAGTGTGTGATTGTCACTTTCGTTAGGGACATTATAGTAGAGATAACTTTCATTTAGGAAGTAAAACATAATTTTATATAAATTATTTTATAAATACAGTGGATTTCATTAATAACGACCTCGGTTGTAACGACCTTTCGGTTATAGCGACGTCGAACTTACGTCCCTAGAATTTGAAGCATACTTTCGTATAAATCCATTCGGCAATAGCGACTCTGGATATAACGCCTAATTCGGGTATAACGACTTGTTTTTATGAACTATTTGGGACAGATTCCTAGAAATTCATTGCGGATATTGAGACGGAGTCGGCAAAGGCGCAAAGACTCATTCATCAACTTTAACTATTAAGCTTGTATTATGTAGGAATGTAAATAAAGGATAAGAATCTTTTGTTTACATTCGCAGATGGTCAAGTGATTTGTTTCTGTGTAGGATTACTTAGCACGTGCATGAAGTTAAAATTATGAATCAGTTACGTATCAATTTCCAGTGAGTAAACATCGTTTCTTAAACTTGTGAACATGGCTCCTAGACGTAAATGTTTACTGTTAAAGAAAAAGTGGATATCATTTCGAGACTGGAAAATGGTGAAAACAATGTTGATCTGTGTAAACAATTTGGGGTTTCTCATTCTACAATATCAACGATGTGGAAAAACCGCGCTAAAATTATGCAGTGTTTTGAATCAAAATCCCTGAAAATAAAGAAAAATCGTAATCCAACTCATCAAGATATTGAAAATGTACTTCTAGTGTGGTTTAAAGCACAGAGAAGCCAAAATGTACCTATAAGCGGTCCTCTTTTGCAAGAGAAAGCTAATCATTTTGCCAGACAGCTTGGGAAAATAGACTTTAAATGTTCAGAAAGCTGGATTTACAGATTTAGACAACGTCATGATATAGTGGTCGGTAAAGTTTGTGGAGAAGCCGCTAGTGTATCGCAAAACGACTGTGATAATTGGTTGAGAACAGTTTTAAAAAAATTAACTGAAGGATATACCGACAGTCAAATATGGAACGCTGATGAGACAGGATTATTTTTTAAATTGACTCCCGATAGAACGCTAAAATTCAAAGGAGAAAAATGTACAGGAGGGAAACTATCAAAAGATAGAATAACGGTGCTTGTTGCTTCAAGTATGGAAGGTGAAAAACGTAAATTGCTGGTTACGAAGCCAACAAAAAGGCGTGGATGACATCAGAAATTTTTGAAAAAGTTTTACGGAAATGGGACTCTGAGCTAAGAAGACACAATAAAAAAATCATCTTATTTATTGACAATTGTCCAGCTCACCCACACATTCAAAAATTGACTAACATAAAACTTTCATTTCTACCACCAAACACTACGTCAGTTATTCAACCTATCGATCAAGGTATTATTAAGACTTTTAAAAGCCATTATTGAAAGCTTCTTGTCGAGAAAATGGTAAATTGAAATGTTAACAACAGCATGGGCACGAGTTACTGCAGATACAATAAAAAAATGTTTTTCACATGCTGGGTTTGGTAAATTTTCTACCATTAATACAAATGATGATGATTCTGATGATGAAATGGATAACTTGCCATTGGCAAGATTATCATCAGCGGAACCAACAGTTACGGATTGGGAAACGTATGTGAATATTGATGATCAAGTTATCACTACTGATAACTTGACGGATAATGAAATTATTGAGTCTGTACTTCAAACTCAAGAACAGGAGCATGAAGAAGAGGATTGCAATGTAAACGAGATTCCAACAATTAGAGATGCATTATGTGCTATTACAACGATCAAAAAGTACTGTTTATTTGGAGAAGCCAGTAATAATTTAGATGTAGAGGGAATTATGAAAATGGAATATACCTTACAGCGTGCACAAAAGTCTAAACTTAAGCAGTGCACTATAACTCGTTTTTTTAATAAAATCCTTGTATAATATAAATAAGTGATAAATAAATAACTACGTATGTATATATACATAATGTACGTGATTTTTTATTATTTCGGATATAGAGACCTCCGGATATAGCGACAACATTAAAGTGGTCCCTCCGCCGTCGTTATAACCGAAATCCACTGTATGTGTTGATATGTATTAATGTGTATTCAAGGTGCAATGTCAAAAGTTCTACATACGTCAATTCAGCTTTTTTGGGGCAAAGCTGAAGTTATAGCGAAAAATATGCTAAATTAAGTTTCAATAAAAACTATTCCACGGGTTTTAGAAATCATTTATAACAAGAATTTGTATACGAATTCTATACGTTTAATAATAGAACAAAAGGGTTTTATTCATAATATTACAATTGAAATTGTTATGAAGAGCTTTGATTTTATCTATGAGATTTGTGATTCTGTTTTCGTTTTCTCTTTATTGTAGCAAGGTAATAGTAATTATCGATTTTATCTTAAGATATTTCTCGAAGTGGAAAAATACTTTGTACTTTTTCAGTTTTGTTTATTTAAAGTTTTCTTTGGGTTCATTATTAGTACTTTATTTTCTGATAATAATAACACAATTTATTATTTGATACTCCCACTCATGAGCAAGAAATCCAAATCATAATATAATACTCTGGAAAAAAATGAAATAATATTATCGGTTTGTGTAAGTACAAAAAATATACTTATATGTTAAATATATAAAAGGAATAAAGATTAAGTAACTTGAATAATCTTTGGTAAAAAATTAATTAATTTCAATTTCTTTAAAAATAACAGCACGAAATAAAAGATAAGTTATCGATTATGTATAACATTGTCCTCCCTTGAATAACAAGTGATATAAAGCAAAATATATTTCTCAGTAGCAGTAGCAAAGATAAGCCTTACTTACCTCTTATACTTTCAGTCGTTCATATCTCCACAGAATTTCCTATAAAATGTGATATGTTATACGTTGGATTCATAGCATAATATACATATATTAGATTTTTCTTTCTATTTATGTTTCATATAATTCAAATGCGACAAACTTTTTTAAAAATATAACGGTAATTGTAATTGAAATGCAACAAATTGATTATCGTAATGAGAAAAAGATGATAGCAATTTGTTAACCTTGAGTAAGTAACGGTAGTATTTTTTTCGGTTAAATATTTTAACTGTAAAGTCAATAACCGATGAACTAACAGCATAATAGTTCGAAAATGTTCGCTTAAATTGTTTATGATATCAAATATCCAATGGAATATTTCGTATAAGTTAAATATAATTTTAGTAACAAACGCTTAACCAGCTTAATGCTGTCAAGACAGATAAGCTGTTCTGCTATTGTTATATATATATACATATATTTATTTAATATAGACAATAATCCGGATAGAAAAGGCTCAGACGAGGCAGCTCGACAATGGACGGTGTATTATTGAGGGAATATTTTAATATAAAAAATGCTTTATGTAATGATTAATAAAACTAGTGATGTTTTATATATATATTTTCTCTGTTCCAGGTATTCTACGATGATAACTATGAACGTTTGGTAAGATAGATTTGATAAATTTAAACTGTGTTTAACAATAAAATATTACTATGTCTGGCACTACCACTTCTTAAATTTTGCCATCGTTTTTGTGAAATTTGTGGTGATATCAGAGAGTGGTATTTATAAGAGAGATAAGACTTATGAATTTTTTATATATTATTAGATATATTATGTTTAACACATCTTATATATAAAAATATTTGATGTCAGCGAACAAACCGATGTTTTATGAACGCGTCATAATTATTTTTTATTTTATCTTTTCCTCCGTCTCTCATTCAGCCTAGCCCTTACACTGCATTTTTCATTTGAATGCTGAAAACTCGGTGTATTCATTCTGGGATATTATCATCGCTCAATAGATTTAAACATCGTTTTAAATGCAATCTATTTTCTTTTGCTACAAGAATTCATATTTCTGAAATATTTTAAATATGCGTTGACGAGAATTGTGTTGTGATTATATTGAATATCCCAGTTCTTGTTTTATTGAAAACCACTTAACATACTTTCCCGTATTTATGACTGCTAATTGGTAACATGGCAGTGGAGACAATATCTATACTGAGAGTTGATCGCATATTGTATTAATTAAAAAAATATGGTTCTTTAAGCATTGATGTGACATTTTGATTATAGTAAAAATATAAGAGCGTTTAAAAGTATTTATCCAACAAAATCTGAGCACATTTACGTTGAGTAAATCAATAGAAATTTTGTCTAAATTAATATCAATTCTAAATTCCATATAAAATCAAATGCTTATCTGTCCGTGTTTTTTTTACTCGAAACCAATCATTGAGTTCCCTTGAAATTTTACTGTACTAGAACTGAATTGAACTGAAATTTAAAGCTGCATTTGTTTATAATATTTTCAATGGGTACACAATTGGAGCTTTGATAAGTATATTTTTTTATTAAAAACTGTGAATTGTGTAAACCAAAGGAGTAAATGTAAAAACTTATAAAAATTAAAAAAATGTTAAAGCATTTTTTGTCTCGAGGAAGGCATTCGTGAAGTGACCTTTTTAGCATTTCTTTAAGATGGCTGTAAAGGCTCCCATTGTTCTAATATGGCATTCTTGCGTACTTCACTTCGCCTTCTTGAATGTAAGATTTGTGTCTGACAGAGAAGTGGAAAGTTTTATTTCGGTATTATGCTTGATTTTGTACAATCAATAAGCTATTTGCCAGCCTAAAAACGTTTTTAATTTCAATATTTAATATATTTTTAGTCTTCACGTATTACAATTAATAAGACCATTTATTAGTACCACCTTATTATATTTGTTTGTAGTTTAATGATCTTGAATGAACTTTATTACAATAGAACCTCATAATACATAATAACAATAACTTAGAGCTATTGAACTACGCAAAGTTACCGAAACTTATAACATAACTTCTCAGCCTATCGGTTTTCTACTTTAAAATTGAAATTCGAACGACCAAGTTTGTCAGAGCTTGAAACTTGAAGAGCCCATACCGTCAATTAGTGTGCTGGCTGGAGTATGAGCTTGGAAGTGAGTTGAGTGTATGGAAATTGTGCTCAAGCCGGAACTATGATATAACATCACCTGGTACCCACGAATGTAAAACAAATATGTAATATAAAATCAATACATTCAAATACTATTGCTTATATTATTTGATTATCGTCATAAAATTATTGAAGTACAATTTATGAGGAACATAAAACCAACCTGTTACTGTGTTGTGATAAAACTATAATCAAGTTGTCGATCACGATCGACTGTTTGGGCGGCGTCGCTCTAGGCGGGCGGCCGTTGACCTCGCTAATAACTTCCGTTTAGCAAACGAATCGTTAGGCTAGACTAGGCTTTTGCGGCTTTTTATTAGAATTAACACTGATTTTGTGGTAATTGGAAGACTTCACTTAGTTACGCTTTGTATTTTAATTACGGATGTTAGTTTGGTCGAGATTTCATATTTATTTTTGATATTAGATGTAAAAAATTTTGGTGTAGTTAATTTAAATACAAGAAATATCTTTCTAACCATGACTTTAAAGTGTCAAGCAATATATATAATTCTAATTTTACGAGAAGCTAGAGCCAAGAATTCTATTGCCTTCACTTTGAACTGACAGTCAGAAAATTGTAAAGGCAGACAAGCTACGTTTAAACTTGTCGATATCTTGTAGTAAGCGACAGCAAATTTACCCTTCAAGTAGTCCTGATACTTAAAGTGCTTGTCGTCACTGGCTGCCTTTGAAAACAAACGCCAGTTGCTTCAAAATTGTGTTCTGTTCAGTAACATGATTTTGCTAGATTGTACGGTTTTGGTTTGAATACGTCACTTAATCGAAAATTCCATATATGGATTACAATTTCTTTTGACATTATGTACTAGTAGATATTATCAGTGCTGTAATGTGGAAGTGTATGGCATCTAACATAGTCAGTCAATGTGTAATAAAACCTCGGTTCCACGATTCTAATCCCATCCAAATCAACAGCCCTTGGAAACAATGCGTTGATAGCGCTTCATACTATCTATTGTCAATCGAAGACTAAAATTCAATTCCACGACCTACATCTCTTCAATACGTCTATGATGTGCCTCAAGCTATGCAGATTGCGGCTGCATAGGATATTCATTGCTATTTATAAGAAAGTAAGGAATAAACTCGTGTAATGAAACTCAGACATTATTAAATAAAGTTTATAGTTTGAATAGCTGGTTTCATTGAATACAAT